GATTAGTATACTAGTTTTAAAATGTCTTTTCTAGTAGAAGTTAAGTGATTACTGTAGGCAGGCTAGCATTAAACTTACTGCTAATCGCACATGAGAAATGTTGTTTCTTTCTAAATGTATATCTTGTAATATACGAATAAATAAAGAAATGGTGTTTACCTACTCTATAAAAAAAAAAAAAAAGTAATAAATGGTTAGGGGGGTGTCCCATATTACGTAATTATCAAGGGGGAAGGAGGTTCTCAAATATCTTATCTCTCACATGATAATATACAGATCGATATGCGTTTGTGGTCACGTGAAGTAGAGGATCAATAATAATCCAATTAGAGTTATGGCATAAGCGTACACCTTTAAATTGTTTTTGTATAAACCAATGTGAACATATGTAATTCAAAAATATTTTTTATTTTCCACTTAGAACATGTTCAGTAGTGAGGACTTCCAGGCTTTACTTACCTTCTGATTGTACTTCCCGGTTATATAAGGTTAGCACTTGTCTAGTCAACATAGATACAACTGAAAAATCATTAATGGAATTGGTAGATAGCTTTTTTTACTTAGCTGGTCATCCTCTTCATCTTGAATGTTGATTTTTCCTATATAGGATAACGAGGAAAAGTTTCGGAAAGTATGCACTGCAGTCGGAACAGTAGAGACGAGCATAAGTATCCAAACTAATAGAAGAACAGTGGGCATAATATCCAGGTATTTTGAGCTTGTCACCATATTTTAATATATGAAGCGGATTTAAGAAATGCTTGTCTTTTCTTTTTATCAAAGGTGAAAGAAATCCATTATTTTCTGCAAGAAGAATGACCACCTCTTCGTGATGTTTAGATAAGCAACAAGAAGGATTCTCATATTTTTTTATGTCAAGAGAATATAGACATATTTTGACATGATTTTCTAGCCATTTCCAGGGTACAGCCGATTTATCAGTACTTTTTTTGTCGGACTCAGGAAACATAATATCACTGAATGGAGAGTTTTTTTGGTCAATATATTGCACTGTGACTGGTTTTTCAAAGATAGGATCACATTTCCAAAGAGTATATAGAGTCTGACCAGCATAACGCAAGTTATTTATTACAAGTTCTAAATTAATCACTTGGCCTTAAGAATTGAGATAAGAACCATATTTATCGATTGGCAATGTTATGCCAGCAAGTTTTTAAGAGAGTGTTGCCATACTACGCTCAACAGGATTATATGCTGATTGACCAGGTGCATGCGTTCGAACGGAAAGATAATCAAGATCAAAGGCACGAAACATCCTACAATATTGAACGATGTTTTTTATGTGTTGGAGATTTTCATCTGGGCCTCTATCAACTAAAAGAATCCAAATGGGTTTGATCTGGCCATTTATTTTTAATATCCCATCAAAACAGCTGTTTTTTGTCAGCAAATTTAGATCGCTTATATGAGTGGTTGAGCTTGTACCAATTTGATATTGTGGACATATAAAAATTGAAAGTTGGTCATTACGAAGAGTATTGTTTGTATTGCTTGGATTGATGAGTAAGTAAACTGATGGAATAAGTTTTTGCTGCATACCAATTAAAAAATTGTGATTGGGTAGTGTAACTGGCTCCCGAAGACTCTGCATAGTTTGAAAAATTCTTCCAACTGCAAGTATATCAAGAGGAATCTTGGCTTTGTCATCCTATGAAATGATTACAGACTGGGTAGGAAATAAGGCTGCGAATTGTTTTGCTCCTTTCATAGAGGCAAGACAATAGTATCCATCAATATGTTTATCTTTTTCATTTCGTAAAATAGTGGTATTTGAAACAATAATAACTGGATGGTAATGAATCTTTGCTGCTATAGTATTCGATTGAAATGGCAGCAAGTAATTATTGAGAGTAGTACGAGAAAGATACTCATTATATTTTGAATTAAGTTCTTCTTGGAGATGGCAAATGGTTCTAACTTTGATAATTTCTCTCCTTTTTTTTTGATCTGCAGCTCCAAACTCAATACATTCGTGTATATGCTCATATAAATCGAGGTATTCAATCAATAAAGGAGGATGACCAGATGATCCATAATTTGCTACTTCTTGATACTCTTGTAGGAGTTTTGCTTTTTTTGCCCTGCTTTTACATTGATA